AACCTTGGGTATCAATCTTCAGGTGCGGTGTCTCTCCTCTCTTCTTCCCTCCCTCTCTCTGAGGCAGGGGTTTGTCACTGGGCCCCAGGGCTCACCAGTTAGGCTAGGTTAGCCTCAGGGATTCTCCCATCTGCCTCTCCTAGGAGTACAGCTGTGTGTACTGGGGATCAAACTTGTACAGCAAGCACTTCACTGATGGAGACATCTCCCCAGCCTCAGGTCACAGAAATATGGGGGTAGATTAAAAAAAGTAAGGCTCCTCCCTGCGTCTCAGATCTGCAGGGAAAGGTACCGATGATGATGAAAGCAAGGCGGATACAGGGTCTCAACTGAAGCCTGCATTTCTATGTGGGCGGGGAAACCAGTCTGCTAGATCTACCTCACAAAAATCTTTGAAATATCAGGGTTATTAATGGTTTGGCCCAAGCATGTGGGCTGGCTGGATACTGAACACTGGTCTGGTGGGCAGATACTTAGGAGTCTTGGGGTGGGGGCATCCCCTTCTACTTGGGGGCTGCTTCTCCATGAAGCACAGGCTGCAATACTGATCTGATGTTTGGTCTTTTGACAATTTTCACGTAATGAATTGATTCCTACAGTTCATTAACATACCCACTTCCACTTCTGTGTACACATATGTCTTAATTAGCTGCTCATTGGCTGTTTAATTACAAGAAAACAGCTGACAGCTGCCTTGCGGAATTCTAATGGCAGACGCTTTGGAATGGCTACACATTTGCTTTTTGACAACCAGGATTTATTCATGACTCTTGAGTTATCGTGAGTGCTCCTATGCCTGCCCAAAGCATTGCATTTTGAAATTCAGCTAAGAACTGGAAATTCAGGAGACTTTGCAAGTGGGTACCATGTCTGCTTTTTGCTTTATTTCTGGGGCTGGGAAGAGCCAAGTCCTCTATGTAAAAAGATGCCCTATGTCACAATTTTGTTTATCCTGGGAGCTTTCTTTCGGGAATGTTCAGAGGGGTGAGGATGCGTGTGGGTGGAAAGTGGAGAAGCAGGACTGTCAGTTTTACTCGGGGTAAAGAAAGATCATCCACAGATTGAAGTTAGGGAGAGGAAGACACCAAGAAAGGTGGATCGAACTCAGCCTGCCTCTGCCTCCTGTGTGCTGCAATTAAAGGCATGCGCCACCACTTCCTGGCTTGAGACTCAGGTTCTTTAGATGAGAACAAGCAGTCTCATTTGTATCACTTAGTTGCCCAGGCAACACTTCCCAGGGTAACTTTCTTCCATAGATGATGGCCCGCCTCCTCATGGAACCGTATGTGCCAATGAGCTCTGACTTGAAGCTGATCTCACCTCACGTGTCCCATGCTAGTACCTGAGCTCCAACATCCTCAGATCCAATCCCAGGAAAGGCACTCAGCATCCCCAGGAGAACCTTTCAGAAACCTGGCACTAGGGCAGGGAGGATTCTACCTACCACGCTGCCTAGAAACCCAGAATGTTTGTGAGCTGAGGAGGGGCAGTAGCTACTGAGACCCGGTTAGCAGGTCACTTGTTTTTGGGGTGCTGAAGACAGAACTGGAAGTACTCCATCCACCTCATCATCTATACATGACAGAATGGAAAACTTTGATGGCTGAAGGGCAAATAACACCTTCCTTTCCCAGATCTAACTTTCACTGTAAAAGACTGAGTTCTAATCCAGGACGAGGCATTTAAAAGCATTAGAAATGAAAATATTGAGTATGAAAACATTAATGTTAAAAACTAGACAGAACCAGCTCAGGGGTCATAGTGACTTTTTACAGTCTAGTAACAACAGCAAATAGAACTCAGGAAGAAGAAGTATTTGGGCCTAAAGGGAACATTCATCAAGTTTCTTTCCAGCCAGGCACACACTAACGTCCACATACTTTGACAATTACCTCAGAGAGGAGAAGAGTACCTGTTACGCACTCTCATTTCTTTAAAAACCTTCCTATGGACATTTCAGGAGAATGCGGGCATGAGGAGATGATTGTGAATTCCCTTTTGCTGGCTGGGAGAGGAGGTTTCACATAGGACACCATCTTAGCTATACGTCATTACAGATAAATGAATCAGATTTGGTGAATACATTATGATGTAAATGTATACAAGTTAGGATTTATATGTGTGTATATTATACACTGGCCCCCTCCTCATTACATACCTATTTGCTATGTAATGTGGTTTTCCCTCATATGTCTAATTATACTGCCAGAAAGAAAGTTATTTATGATTGGTCACAGTGGGATCACCTCCACCTGGTTAACATCTGGTAATGGATGACAATGGCAGAAGTCCCTTGACTTCACTGTAACTAGAGTACATTGCACTGCTACAGTCAGAAATTATAATGTAGAACCGTTACTGTATGCCTCCAAAGTGTACTGCCCAGCGCAGATAAGTCACATGTCAGTGGTTGGGTGGCCATCATTGTGGAGTAGAGGACCAGAACCAATGGCCGAAAGCCATTTCAGCATGGAGGTATCACATGAACAGGATTTGGAAGGGATTTTAGACAACCATAGGATCTTAACTGTTTGCCTTACTGGTTGTATTTATCTTCTCCAGAATAAACACTGGCCCTTTAAATGTGTGTGCATGTGTAAATGCCCGGGCACTCCGTCAATTCAGCTTCACTGACTAATTGGTTGTTAGTGAGTCTTTCAAACTGCTAAGGCATAGCACACAAGTCACCCCTACCCCACCCCTGAATTTCATATTTCCAGATATTTCAACACATAGAACCACAGGGGCACAGTGGACAAACTCAGAGACAGTGTTGAGCTTCTTGGGCAGAATGGAAAGACCTAGGTGGTCTAAACACCTGGGTGATATGCCATAAATGAAAGTCAGATCTACGGAGGACCAGGACAGAGCAAACACTGTAGGGCTTGGAGGTGCTGTAGGGATGAGAGATACGGTAGGGATGGGAGTGGCCCCGGTGCCTCTACCAAGGTCATAGCTTTGGGGACACAGAGACTGAAGTTGGCAGTGGTCACAGGTTGTTTGCATAGCAAGGTTAGCATTTCATCTTTCGTGTGTGTGTGTGTGTGTGTGTGTGTGTGTGTGTGTGTGTGACATGCAGAGGCCAGAGGAGGACTTTGGGGGGGGGTCTTCCTCTGTTTCTCTTATTGCCTGAAACAGAGACCCTACACTGAACTTGAGGCTCACTGTCTCAGGAAGAGTGGCTGGTCAATGAGCTCTCAGGATCTGCCTGCTTCTACCCCACCAATGCTAGGGTTGCAGTACACAGCCACATGCATCTTTTTTTTTTTTTTAACATAGATGCTAGGTAATCATACTTGCAAAGCAAGTGGTGCTACCCACTAAGCCTTTTCTCCAGTCCCAAGTATTTTATTTTTACAAGAATTTACTTCAGAGAGGCCAGATTAAGGAAATTTTTTTAATAAACCCATGAGGCCTTTACCACACAGATGAATAATTCAAAATTCCCCTCCAGTAACAAGTTCCCTACTTCTCAAAGGTGGGTGACTTTTTAAAGGACAAAGGGATTTGGTGAGGTGCAAGAGTCCCATACTTTGGACCAGGGAGGTGGCATGGTGGGTAGAGGGACTTGCCACCAATAGTGATGACCTGAATTTCTAGGACCCACATAGTTGAAAGAGCAGACGGCTGCAAGTCGTCCTCTGACCCCCACATGCATGCCAAGACACCTGCACGCCACTTCCCAAATAAGACCATGTACTAATTCTAAAAAAAAAATCCATCTTCACTAACCTGCGGTCTATATATGTAAATCAGCAAATAATATTATGATTAACAATGAGAGGAAGAAATTTAAAAATTATGAGGCTAGTCTCCCCCAAATCCCACAGCCATTACGTACGGCTGCAGGTGATTTTCTACCTTATGACAGAATGCATTCTTGTTTGCACTAAATGAATACAAACCAAGGAAAGAAAAACAGATTTTTTTTTAACCCTTCAATCTTAAAAAGCCTAAGGGCTAATTGGGTCTGGCTATAGCTGTCTCCTAGGCCATTTGCATCAGATAACGTTTCTCCTACTCATTTGTGCTGCTTTAACCCTGTCTCCAAACTCTTCCCAATCACAAAGAAGAATTTCAATCTCAATCAGTGGAAATTTGAATACATTTGGGGGCGTGGTCCTGGGGTGACTAAGCACCCCATCTTCCATTCTTATAGTAAGCCTGTTCTGTGTCCCTGGCCCCATGGTCACCTCATACAAATGGTCACTGTAGCAATAATATCAGGTTTTTATTTAAAAGCACCTCTTATTCTTGGAATAATCCTAACAGGTAGGCAGGGCAAGTGTCATGGCTACTCCATGGATGAAGCTGAGTTGATCAAAGGTTCAGACATGTCCCAAACAATGTGGGCAAATAATTTGGCCAGGTGTACTAAGACCTGGATACCAACAGAAAGACTCAGTCACATCCATGTGAAACTTAATGGAAATAATTTCCTCCTAAACTCAGTGACAGGGCAACCAGAGGTCTCTTGTGTCTCTGTGCATAAACCTGCACCAACGAAGGCCAGAACAGGATGTCAGTGCCCTCTTCTGTAGCCCCTGCCTTATTCCCTTGAGACAGGGTCTCACATTGAACCTGGACATCACTGTTGAGCTAGGCTAGCTGGCCAGTCAGCTTCTGGGATCTCTGCCCCAGAAAGCTGGGGAAACAGGTCCGAGTGGCCATTCTTGGATTTCTCCCAGAGGCAGCAGGGATTTGAATTCAGGTCCTCCTTCCTGCACATATAAGGCTATGACCAACGGAGCCATCCCCCCAGCCCCAGAGGGAGCTCATCAGTGCGATGGGCTCTGCTCCCTTGCTCTCTGTCCTGACAGGTTGAAGGAGGTGTAACTGCAGTAATTATAACTGGACATGGCGGTACTGACCCCACCCTGTCATCATCACTCGGAAGCTCAGGGAGTTGAATTTTTAGGCAGACTGGAAGCAAAAAATAGAAATGGCCAAGATGCCCCATAACACGAATAGAAACAACAACAACAATTAAAACAGCTTACCTTGCACCCTTCACATGTAATGACACCATAATGGATTCCTGACGATTTGTCTCCACAGATCTTGCATGGAATAATTTCAATTTGAGCTGCAACAGAAGCATGCAACCAGTTAATTACATTTTCTTTTAAACACCTTATAAAAGCGTTCCCCGATCAGCATTTGTATAGCGAAAACTAATAACCTACTAAACATTATCCTGCATTAACTATTCATTGCTGAACTGTGAGGGTCCCCCTAGAGCCCTGGACTAAATTATGGCTGCTCGTTATATAATAGCTTTCGGGTTATTAAAATGGGTCATTTGAGAAGGTGTTTAAGAGCCCACAAGAAGACTGGAATCAGCATTTCAAAGGCTTCCAGAACCGGAGAGTTCGCAGTTTAGGTCTCAGAGCAAAGCAGATACTAAACTGTGTCCCCTCCCGCCCCATCTCATTTTCCATCATTATTTTTAAAAGGTCATAAATCTGTCTTGGCTGAGCATGTGGCTCTTGACTTGTAGAGAAAAATACATCCCCAAAAAGTCAGGTCTACTTAGGAAAATGATTCAATTCAAAATATTAATAAGTTACGTATGATAGGAAGGGCTCTCCATTCATCCTTTAAGAGAATTAATGTAGTTGCCATGTGTTCCAAATTAGTTCATCTTTGTACAGCCCAACCTTTCAGCCATAAAGTTAATATCCTGCCTGAATTTAATAATGATGAATTTTGCCAAACAGGAGAAGTTGCTTCTGAATTTTTTTATGATGGAAATTGATTTTTTTTTTTGGCACAGCATGCATGTATTCTTATGCAATTGATTATTTAAAGCTGCTTGCCTCTGAGAAGCCAAATGATTAAGAAATGACACCAAAGTTCTAAGTCCTGGTTAGGCATCTATTCATCTCGAAATAAACACACTGTATTTCCAGTCGAGTCAGAAAAAGCAGAATTGAGAACCGAAATATATAGAATAGAATACATGAGCAAAAAAAAATTCCATATTTAACTCAAGATCTCTTAAATAGGATTTGTATGTGGAATCATGGAGACAAAGGCTGATCCGCAATGATGATGATGACCTAGAATGTTCCATTATGAAACCTTTACACCCCACAGTTTTCACCACTGGATATCACCACAGCAGTCTCTGCCAAGTCATACATGCAGGCAGAATAGCAAGTGCCCTAGTCAATTTCATTTCTGCAGGTATTTGACTCGGTAGCTTTGTGCCTTCCACAGAGCAATGGTCCCATCCAGTAACTCTGCTGCATGATGTATGCAACACACACACACACACACACACGGCCTACTTTCTTCTACTGAAATGTCATATCCAGGGATATTTTCTGTAACCACTGACTTTGCAATCAGATGGAATGCCATATCCAAATCCATGAGGTTCCTGGATTAAAACCCATCGTAAACTATGCCGTCTGCCACCCCCTTCCAAGAAGATGAACACACATATGTTGGAGGCTTCAGCTATTCTAGAAAGAGGGCCCTTTCCCTATGTATTTGTTTCAGCACCGCACCCCAGGCTTGTTCATCCAAGATTTGCAGCTGTGCCTACAGAGGCCAGAAGAGGGCATCAGGCTCCCTAGAGGGGGAGTTGTCACAGGCGCTAGGAACCCACCACCTCAGGCACTTTTGAAAGAGCAGCAAGCACTCCTAACCACTGAGGCATCTCTCCTGACCACATTTAGCGACTGGTCAAAATCATCTGGAGGCCTGCTGCCTCATAATGGTGCTTCTGCAACTTAGGATGTTTAGAGCCGTACTAATAAAAACCCCGTTTCCAACCTTGCCTTATTTGACATTCTCAAGAGAGATAGCAGAAGGCCCCGTATTGAGTGTTCCTTTCAAAATCCTCACTGAAGTCAAGGGGAAGGCAGAGTTTATGCTTAGTGCTTTTCAGAGAGAAAGGCATGGAAAAGGTGCTGTCCGCCCGCAATTCCAAGATGGGGTTTCCCACACGCATGAGCTAGTCTACCAGGAGAACTGGCTGCTTCTACCCTGACCTGGGAGGAAGAGAATAATTACGTGATACTACTCAGGTCACCCACCCATTAAACAGAATTTATCTGTGAAATAAAGACACCCAACCAGGAGCCGCCTTCTGCCCCTGCTCCACTTCAAACTATCGCTGAAATGACACGAGCAGACCTTGTTACCCCCACCTGCCACCCCAGGGTCAATCAGCACCAGAACCGCTTGAGGCAAAGCGAGCACCCTCACTCATATTTCAGTCTGGGCCTTTGGAGAATCATCTTCAGGACACGGGGGTTCAGCGGGTGGACCATCTACCTTGCAAGCAAGCAGAGGACTGGAGTTCAGATCTCCAGCACCCACCTACACGCTTGGGGGGGCATGGCAGCCAGGCTGTAATGCCAGTGCTTAGGAGGCAGAGACAGGAGAGTCCCCAGAGCAAGCCGGCCATCAAGACCGGCTGAAATAGTACTGGGTTCCATGAAAGGCCATGCCTCCATATAGAAATAAGGTAGAAAGTGGTTAAGAAAGACACATGCCACGGACTTCTGACCTTCGCGTACACGTGCACACATGTGCACTCACGCAGAAGCAAAACAAGAAAACTATCTTCAGTCTGTCTGTTGGCTCTGTATGAGAATCTGAGGGCCCTGGGCAGGCTCTCTAGGGAAACTATGTAACCCTACCTGATCAAGTAGGGACATAACAGCTGCTGCTGTGCTTTGGGGTGGACCAGGATTAAAACTAAAAGGGGGACTTCCGAGAGTACCCAGAATGCTTATAACGGGCTACAGCAATGCATTAATTTACATACAGGGAGGTCTGGGGGTATGCTCATGATAAGAGTGCCTAGAAGTATCATTTCTGCCTTAACACCATCACCTAGGAACGGCTCGTGGCCTGGCTGGGGATGGGCAGCCGACTAATGGCAGCACAGACTCAGGCGGCTGGTATTGCTGCGTCAGGCTTTGGCACCCTTGGTCTTCAGTCTTGCATAAGTTCAGGTCTTTCAGCTCTCAAGGCAATCCAAACCCAAGTTGATTGCACAAGTTTACACAGAGGCCACAAAGCTAAGAATGAATGGGCTCACGTAGACTCACTTTTCTTTCCAAGATGGGGCCGTTCCGCTAGACCTTTGTTCCATCATGATGTGCTTAGCCCCAGTGGGCAATGTGGGCTACAGAACCAGAATTAGAACAAGCTTCTCCAGGAACTTCACAAGTGGGGACTGGATGGGTCTCTGCAGAGCAAGGTTCAGCTATTTTGTTTGGTCAGATTAAACTGCTCAGCTAGTGTCCCCCTGCATGGCCGTCTTATCTCAGAAGATAATTTCAGCCCCGAGTGCTCTTTGGGAGTGATGAAAATACACCCGCTCCTACCGCACAGCCTCTGAATGTCATCCGATCACATGTGTTGACATTCCCACAGCAAACATTTGCAACTGGGAACAAGGCATTTACCCATGTCCCCATTCAATCGCCCCAGCATGTGGAAGCCCCAGCCCGGTTTACTCTCAATTGACAGGCTCAAAGGAATCAAGGAGAAGAAAATCATAGCCGGTGCCACCCAGCTATTTCAAAAGGATGGCGGCTGACTCTCACCAACTTAAGTTTTTACGTCAACAGGAAGGATAAGAATCCCTCCAGCTTTTTCATGGAAGCACCCTCTTCTCCAAATGATACTCTTCCCACACAAAGGATGTGTCTTAGCTCCTTCATCTACTCCACACATGAACAGCATCCCAAAGCATCGTCGCTGTCAGACACCACCACGGTTGACAATCACAAGTCCACAGACAGACCTGGAGCACATATGAATTTCCCCCAGCCAGCGACATCAAGCAGTAGTCTACTGGGAGCCAGACGTGGCTGTGTGGTTCCAGATGAGCCTCCCAATGAATAATCTTGCTATGAAAACATCTCACTGAAATGCACTTTTCCCCCAGCCCTATTGCCTGAATAATTTGCTCTTGTGCCCTCTGAGTAATTCAGGCAGGCTCCCCACACTTGCAGAGGCGGATTTCTAGAGCTGACAAGTGACAGTAGGAAGCCAACTGATCACATGATCCTTGAGCTGGGTGGGTCAGTTAGCACTGTGGTGGTCACTTAGCATGAAAAATATACGTATATATAATGCACACACATGCATATATAATACACACATAATACATATGCATGTATAATACACATGCATATAATACACATATAATAATATGTATATATAATATACACATGCATGTATAAATGTATTTTATATATACATAAATATATATATATACACATAGTTTGCTTTTAATTTCCAATCTATAGGAGAAGTAGCCATTATCAGTTCCTCCTATGGGTGAAAAGACTGCTTAACAGCAAACATGACTCTGGAGCCTGCGAGGTGGCTCAGAGATCAAGTCCTTTGACACCAAATATGATGACTTCAGTTCAGCCCCTAGGAGCCACATGGTAAAAAGAGAAAACTGACTCCTGCAAGTTGTCCTCTGACCATCATCTGTGTGTCATGCAACATTTGTGCCCAGACACACAAAGTAATACAATTTCTCATCATACCGCCCCACCAAGATAAACTGTCTGAACTTGGTACACAATCAATGGAAGACCAGGTGACACCTTCTCGGTGATCTGGCTAAGCTCACCTGCTATAGGAACCATGTCAGCAGCACTTCCTGAGAATTATCTGCCTAGCCCACAGCTGAAAATATCATTCACAATTTGGGCTACCGTCTCCATTTTGCAGAATTCCAGGTAGAATATTTGGCCTTCCGGTGACTGACTTCGGATTTACCAATTCTTAAGCCTAGGCAAATTAGTTAACCCCTCCGGTCTCAGCTTCCTAGCTGAAGATTCACTGGTATAGCGTATGAACGGCAGCCTCTCTGAGCTGTGTCCACGTGGTCATTTACACATGTGTCCTCTTCAGGCACACACTGCTTGGCTCTCAGACTTCACGTTTGATAACTACTGGCTGTTATTATTGTCGATAAGAGTCCTGCCGTATAGTGGAATGAAATTCTTTCCTCTGGCGTCTAAGCTCCTTGCGAAGTGGGGATAGAGAAAAGCTGCTTATTTTCCGAGGATGGGGAGGGGCAGTTGGTGCTGCCTGCCACAGCAGCACCCCCACACCGGCACTTAGCTGCAGCAGTCGTGGGATGTTGGTGGTTTTTTTTCTATTGGTCCTCTGAACAAAGAAATGAGCGCCACATACTGACCTGGCTCATGCCAATCATTTCTCACTGTAGTTTATTTGCTCACCACACTTTGTGTTTGTGTGGACACACGCACACAGGTACGCATGTGCATGTGGAGGCTACAGGGTCATGTTGGGTGTCTTCCTGCGTGGCTCTCTACCTCATTGTTTTGAGATCAGGGTTTTTGCTGAACCTGGACCTTAACAATACGGCTAGACCTTAAGCCCAGGCTTCTCCAGTCTCCATCTTGCTGTCAAACGTGGTTTTTTTTTTTTTTTTTACCTTGTGCTGGTGACGGAACTCAGGGTCTCATGCATGTGAGAGCTGGGTCATCCCCTTAGCTCCCATACTGTCTGGAATTGGACTATGTGTTTGGGGTGACTTTTGGCTTGCCAGGAAAGTAGTTAGGGGCCAAACCACGGGGACAGCTATGAGACTGTATCTGTCACACATGTGTATGCCAATCAATTTTGCTGGTGTTGCCTAAGAAAAAAGTTGGCAAAGATCTGCTTGGAAAAGGAACTCTGATTTGCACAAATCTGTCGAGGTGGTTTTTCTTCCTGGAAGGTCGAGCACGTGGAGGACATTTTCCTTGCTCTGTTACATATTTCTCTAATATTTGGATTTTTTTTTTACAACCAGCATGTATTACTTCTCTAAGCAGAAAAACCAATAAAGATTAAAAAGAAAAACCCTAAGGCGTTTGATTTTATTTTCAGTCAAATGGCCAAGCCCTTTATGGCTTATTCACTTTATTTTATCCCCAGTTGAAAGCTGCTGGGGTGTTAGAGGCTCCTGCAGCCTCCTCCCACATGGCAGTCCACAGCAGCTGGGCCTGTGTGTCCAGGCTGCCTGGCCCATAGCCTCTGAGTCTTCACCTTGTTGCCTGCAATGCCTTTGGAAGCTTTAGCTTTCTGCAGTCTTCGTCCCTCTGGTTTCAGGATCTCCAAAAGTGGTTGTGCAGGTTGCCTTGCCTGGGGAGGACAACTGAGAAAGGAGAGGTCCACGGTCCAGTTGGACCTGAGTCCTGCTGAGGAGGCCTCTTCTGATTGGTCTGCTCAGATGAGCTCATTTTTATTGTTCAAATCAGCCCTTTGGGTGGCGTCCTCATCCACAGTGTTCCAACTTAGCAAGAGCTTAGCCAGAGTGTACTACAGGGGAAGGCCAGGAGCCCAGTGGCGACCACTTTATCCCTCCTGCCTTGGGAGGACCGACCCATCCTGGACCTGTGACTTGGAATACAGTGCGGCTCTGTTCCCTGGCCCCTGGCATGTGTCACGGTCCAGCTGCACTCTCAGAAAACCTCATAATCAACTTGTTTTGCCATTGTGTCTCCTAAATATACGCTACTCAGAATGCTCGCTTTCCCCCCAGAAGATAGGCTTTTCTTCCCTTGATTTTGGATTCTTTCGCGACAGTACTGAAATCATTGCCACACATCACCAAAACAATTAGACCCTTAATTAGGAAAGTCCTACCCCTCAATACCCAGTCCATAAGCAGCCCCATCGTCATTTTCCGGCAGCAAGAATAACAACCGAGAGTTACAGAGCTCTGTGCGGCTCTGAAAGTTTTTGACCTCATTAGCTTGTTTTGACTTCCATGTGCACAGCACCCCCGAAGGAGACAACTGTTAGCATTCCCATTCTACAGATGGGGAAGGAAAGCCTCGGGAGGGGCACATGAAATCTCCTTCATGTTTAAATATCCTGGAGCTTCATATACACGCATACAGGCAGGCAGACAGAGAGACGGACACACAAATAACACAGGTGGTATCTCTTTTCTGTTCTGGTTTATTAGATATTGTGGATCCGTTACTAGTGGTCTGCAGCTCTCAATGACAAATGACACTAGGGAGAAAGAACTTCAGAACCTGATCCAGCCAAGAAGAGGTGGTGCCAGCCCTGCCAACCTGTCCTCGACACCTGACTCCCTGGGTGGCCCCAGGTAAGTCACTTACACCTATATATACTTCCTCCACCTATAAAAAGGGAATACATCTTACCTCCCAGGCTGTGTCTGTAAATGAATGCCTTCAACCGTCTTTGAAGATGAAAAACCTATATAAACAGGAAGCTTTGGGAAGCTTGGCATATCACTGTTGGCAAGGACCGGGACGCCATGCCCTCACTGCCCACAACAGGCTCACCACAAAGAATCAAAGTACATGGTGCTATAATTTGTACCTGTGAACTAGACACATGTTATGTTTCAAGCCCTTCCTTTCTTGAGGGCTGATGGGTTTGGGCACTGCTCTGATAGTTTCCGCCTGAAAGAAAAAGGCCCTTCAGATGGAAAAGTCACAGCAAAGTCATTGAGCCACACTATTTAAACAGGGCTAGCCCAGTCATTTGGGAACATCATAGATGCCATGGCGCCCACTTGGTAAACAGAGCGCATGTTCGTGTAGTCCTCAGACATCCCGAGGTTCAGTATTAATTTATTTAATTGACTTAAAAGACCCACCCCTCATTGAGTACAAAGAAACAAAAACCTGCATTTTCCTGTGCCCTTGTCCTTGAAGACTTACATTTCACCTGTTATGATGGTGTGTGTGTGTGTGTGTGTGTGTGTGTGTGTGTGGTGCTGGGAAGCAAACACAGGTACATATGCCAGGTACGCAGTCTGCGATGGGCCTATAGCCTCAATCCATGAAGCCACTTCTTAAAAATATCTCCCTCACTGAGGTTTCCCCTAAGCTTAGCAGCTTTTTAAAAATAATCTTAAAGACATATCTGTAAAAACTCATTAAATACATAGAGTCACATATCAGACAGATACGCCCAGACACACCTTGAACAACACAGATTGCAATGTATAGTTAAAACTAAGTACAATCGGTCACCTGAAACTTTGATTATTTTGTGCGCAATTTTGGTGGAGAAGGGGTAAAAACAGTAGATCAGAATGTCCTAGAATGAATTCGGAGAAAGCTGAGCTAGTCGAGTATGCAGGAAGTCTCTGAAGAATAAGGAAGCCAGGCTCAGCTTCTCATGTGGTTTTCTGTGAAGATGCGGGTAGTTCTGACAATGGGGACAGAACATTAAGCCCTTGTAGTGTTTCCATCTCAACCTGATTAAGCTTTCCTGAGAAACTGACTCCCATTCCCTGATGCATCTGTTTCTTTGCTAAAAGCCAAATCCAGATGAGCCTGCTCATCCCCAGATGGGGGCACTCTATCCAATGAGAACGGAATCACATTTGCCATGGAGGAGAGAACAGGAAGGCTTTGATTTTTAGTCTCTCTAGAATTCTTCATCTACATAGTCATACGCAAAGTGTCTAAATTTAAAGTAACCGACTCCTTAACCTCTTTTGGTAACTCCCTAGTTACCAACTAAACCCTGAGCAACATGACTTGACCAGCAAGAAGAAAGACGTCATTCTGCTCATGAACCCGGCCAAATGCTGAGTAACCCCCACCCTCAGACGATGCCACTAAGGTCACAAATACAAACCCTTTTTTCTTGTTTCTCCAACTCTTATCCATTTCAACCACAGAACACATCTCTGGCTATGAATCTGTGGTGTTAATTGAAATTAGAGACTAAGGAAAAGTCACTAAATACCCTCTCAAAACGCCCAGCTGAAATGAAGCTTCTTTAAAGATTTTCTAATGAACTAGAAGATTCTAGAATCAAATGTATGCATATATACACATATTTTTTCAGTATATAGTTCTTGAAGATTTTTCTAGGACTCCAGAATGAGGAACATGTAGAAAACTCCTGCTAAATCTCTTGGTGGGGGTTCAATGTCATACTATCATTTTATTTCTTGGTTACTCTATGCTCAAGGGTGTCCCTTATATACCGCTAGATGCAAAATGTCACCTGTCTAAAGCGGCAGCTAATCTTTTGCTGAGATCAACCTTATTCTAGATACCATGTTCTCCCCTCACTACCAGCAAGAACACTCACACCACATTTAGGTTAAGTCTTCCTTCCAGCTGAAGGCGAGGGGTCAGTTGCATGCCATCGTCATTCAGAACCTGTTTCTTCGCAGCCATACAGAAGAGTGTCTTTACAGACCGAGCCCCATCTAGAGATCTGATCTAGCTTCTGCCCAGTCAGAACCATCAGGATGACTCTTACTGCATTTTGTGACACAATCTCACCTCGTACAATTGCGGCACAGCTCTCACACCCTCATTCCACCGGTGTAGACAGCAAGCTAGATCCATTTTATAACTGTGGTATTTCCAGCTGGAAGCTTCTTAAATAATGGCTACATATAATACTATGAAAAGAATATGCCAGATGATTCAACTCCAAGGACAAATGGGGGAAAAATTTCACAAATCTGTGGGCACAGAAATGGGTTTTATAATAACTGGGATGCTTGTTTAAGCCTATTTGCCCTATGGCTTCCTGAGTGTGGCCCCTGGAGTCCTTGACACAGGGCACCAGAGTGTACTGAGCAGATAATTCTGAACAGTCTGTCTGCTTCAGGGCACTCCTGGAAAGCCAACCATTGATTGCTAATTCTACTTACCCACTTTCCATGACCTCCTCTCACCAAAACCAGATGGATGAAGTAAGATATGTGGAACTGGGTCAAAGTCACCAGAATTCAGGTTAAGTCACGCAAGTGTACCCGGCAAAGAAGCCTGCTGTTTCTTTCCACAACCTCGAGTGGTTTCGGAAGAGCAGCGGCTGTGCCTCGTACAGCAGATGATGTCAGGTAGGAAATATGCTCCAACCAAATAAACCGTGGCTTCGTGATGAAAAGTTGGGATAAAAAACCCACCTAACTTTAAGCCTTGAAAATGCATTTACCTTCTGCATCAAGCCACAGGCGACTAGAAAGACACCATTCGCCACTTACATGGTCATGGGACACAGAACCACGGAAACTAAACTTTGAAGGCCCACAGATTGTGAATGGGTGAGGATGAAGGAGAGGACTAGCTGAGGCCATCTCTGTGTCCTACCTTCACAATGTCTCTCTATAATTCCTTGGGGAATGGAGCTTTGCCCGATAGATAGAGAAGGGTCTGTTTTTTCCCCTTGTTTTTGCTTTTTTGTTTTTGTTGTTGTTAAAACTCATAAGCAAGAGTTTAGGCTTGCTAGAGGCAGAGGTGCAGATTTTAAGCTCTATAAGATCACAGGCTGGGGGTCTAGCTCAGCCGGCAGAATGTTTACCTAGCTTGCATGAAGCCCTGGGCTCCATCCCCAACACTGCAGAGACTGGGTATGGTGGCACATCTATATAAGCCTAGAGCTTGGGAAGTGGAGGCAGAGGGATCAGAAGTTTAAGGCCAGCTAAGCTATGCAAGACCCTGTCTCAATAAAAAGACTGTAAGACCATAGAGGATGACACATTTTACCAGTTCTCCAGTACATCCGACTTTGAGGATACAGTCAATAACATCTAAACCTAAGATCTGACAAGTTCAAACACGTCATAGATGTATTTCTGGATTACAATCAAATAGTGATCTTTCCCTTCCTTCATTCCTCCTTTCTTTCCTCATTTTGAGACAGACAGGATCTCATTATGTAACCTTGGAACTCACTATTGTAGAATAGGCCAGTCTCAAACTCATAGCAATCTATCTGCCTCCCCCTTCCCATTACTGGGATTAAAGGTGTGTGCCAAGATGCTAAACCATCAATGGTGTTTCTTAAATATTCTTCGTTGTGAATTTTGAGGATAACCAGTATAGCCATGAATGGGAATAATCCAAAAATACATAGAAGATTCTCTATCCCATCTCTGAATGCACACTCTGAAAACTTAGACCCAGAGACAGTTCCAGTGTTCACCCTGAAACATGAACTCAAGGAGAGGGTAGGTAGCAGTGTTTGCCAAAAGCTGAAGTTCTGTTGTTTCTTTCACCATTTCTGGGGAAAAAAAGGAGCAAAAGCAAAAATTGCTGGCCATTTCTTGGCTGCCTCCTCAGCGCTAGAGTTACAAGGACAACGCCACCATGCCTGGCAATCTTCTTACGTGGTTGCTGTGGATTGAACTCTGGTCCTCCAAGGCAAGCATTTTGCTGACCAGAAACCGCTTCTCCAGCCTTTGGCTGCTTTTACGTCTTGCAGAGAGGAGTGACGCATGAACATAGCAGCAACACAGACACACTAACGACACAGGGCACTGTCCTTTCTATCCTACATAAGGCACTCCTTTCGTTTGCGAAGACAAACATTTCAAATGACACTCTGGCCATCCTGTACATGTCTCCGCCAGCTATCTAATATTGGCCGGCCATGCAATATTGTACCTGTTCACCACACACTCACAGAACATGGGTGCACCACCCACACAACTCACACAAACACACACACGCACCCCTACACATAAAGCCATCATCTAGCTGTACATCTCACTACCCCATGCTAGGCAGCAGTGCCAGGGACATGAACTGGGCACAAAGACCCCACGAAAGCAGCTCATTTTGTAACACTCACTTCACTTCAGATTAGACTCCAGCTTCTCTTCATGTAAATGAGAGAGACGAGTGGAAATTATTTTTAGTGGAGAAGGGTAAAGTATGGAGATTTAAATCCACAAACTCTACAGCCTGGGGTTGAGGCTCCGTCCTCAATCTTTCTAGCTCTGAATTTAAGCATTTCGGTAAGTCCCGGGAGTTTCTTAAGCCCCGTGTGTTTCGCGTTCCCAACAATTTCTACCTCGTTACTGCAGTACACACAGGCAAAGGGTCCTGTAGCGTGGGGAGCACTGGGTGAGCGTGAGCTATGCTCGTCCTACGCCTGTCTGTTAAAGATGGCAGATGTGGCAGTGAGGCTGCAGCTGGAATGGAGGGAACCTTGGGAAAATGACAAAGGATAAGTCATTATTTCTTTCTATGTTTAGCAGCTTTCCTGTGATTGCCTACACCTATCCTGAGAAATAACCCTCAACAGG